CTAAAACTTCAATATTGAATTGAGATACTTTAAAGTTTTTACATTGAAAACAGGCTGATTATATTTGATTAATGTGCAAATCAATCATTCCGTGGAAATCAAGGCCGAGCTCCATTCAAAATTAACCACCAAATGGAGGAAATTAATGTAAGAGCAGAAAAAAGGGACTGTATGCGTAATTTTAAGTGACCCTCCATGCAAAGATGGTAATGCCCAATTTACAATGGTACCCTTGAAACCTTAATCTAATCAAGTGGTTTTCCCTGTGAATTCATCCACAGTTTCTTATAAGAAAAAAATGAGCAAGACACTTAAACTGAAAAGCCACTATGAAAACAAACATACAAAGCTTTTCAGGGTACCGTTGTAAATCGGGCATTGCCATCTTTGCATGGAGGGTAACTTGAAATTACGCTTACAGTCCCTTTATTAATGAGTCTAGTGTGAATGAACATGTCAATGGCTAGACCAAAGACCTATGATATATAAACTTGAACATTACAGAAGAATGTAAAGTACACTGTTCAGTGTTCCTGTTCATCCCTTAACTTTCTCCCTTACTTTAGAAGAGGGCTTGGATCCGGGGTAACCCTGCGGCTTACTCGTCTACTTAATCCGGGTAGTTTAGGAGTATCCGGTAATCCGGCAGATCCAATCTAGATAGATAAATAGTTATATCCGGGCAGTTCCTAACTAGATACTTTTATCCGGGTTGTTGAGATCCGGATATGGATTCAGTATAAAGTAGTAATTTTTAAATTATTCAAACCTTGATCTCATTCTGTGACCCATGAGTTGATAATAAAGTTCAAAAAAAACTGATTATTGACGAAATTAGCATAATTTTGATTGTAACCAACAAAATTTAAGCTTATATATAGTGATATGCAATACAAAACGTACATGTTATAACGATCTAAAACGTACAAAACGATCTAAAACGTACAAAACGATCCAAAACGTACATGTTATAACGATCCAAAACGTACAAAACGATCCAAAACGTACAAAACTATCCAAAACGTACATGTTATAACGATCGTTCGTTTTTCCAGTTTTTTTAGAATAAGATTTTACAAAATTTAATAAAAGCAAACTTTAACAGAGTAAAGTTTTCTAATCAAAAATGTTTTATTCTAGAAAGTAATATTAACATTTAACCCAAGGATATAATGCAAGGAAAGTTATTTCAGAAGTGTACACATCTTCTGTACTGCACTGTGTACTGTCTCTGGGCGGTAATGTAAACACAAGACGGGTGTCAAAGGCTGACATGGGATCCATCTTTTACATGAAAAAATCAATGAAATATTCTGGTCATAGGAAACTATTATGTGAATTGTCAAAATTATCAAAATTTAATGCTTATAACCGCCTCGGATACTAAACGAACACTGATGCATCTA